CATGATTACAGATTAACATATTATATAAAAATATTAATGTTTTAAATATAAACATGGAGATAACATTAATATGTACATATTAAAATAATTATTTTTTGTATAGGATCCATTATTTAATTTTATATAAAATATTATTAATATTTAAATTATATAGTATAATATTATATTATAATATTATTAATATATGTCTCTAAATAGCAAAATACAATACATCTTTACGAAATATCTGCTTGTGTCATTGTGACTTTGTAAGCATTGTTTTGTAGTCAAGCAAAGCCACAAAGGCTACAACAGGCAGTACAATGTACTCCTATTTAACTATTTATTAGAACAAGAAAATATCATACTACACCTTACTATTTCTCATTCCCTAGACATTCCTCAGATGCTGCTCATAGAATTCCAGAAGCTGTAACTTGACTCCATAAAACATGAAAGAAGTGAAAAAGTACCTTTCATAGTTTAAAGGTTTTTTCTCGTTATTGAAAGATATCCAGAGGAGATTAACACTTCAGAGCCTCACAAGCGCCTCATAAATTGCCCTTAAAGAGATGGTGTTCAGTTCTATGGTTCTTTAAGAATACCTACCAGTTTGACTCTGTCTTGAACATGTCGTCATTAGGTCCATTGGAGAAAAGGGTAACCATAAATGCAGAGTTTTTATAAATAGTGTTTCCTTCGAAATACAGAGGCGACAGAGATGAATTAGAACAGTGGAGGCATGAGAATACATAGCATATCATCTTGTATGAGGTACAATTCAGTAGAATACTTTTTTTCTTTTTTAATTACAGAAGTTTTGAAACTCTTACAGAATAGTCTGGATGTGGCCTAAAGAAGAAATTTTGTATGAAGGAAAGTTTGTATGAAATTGGAAATGTTTATCTTCACTTTCTCAAGCACATCATGGATTTTTCTTTAGGAAATCAGCCACATGATGACATTTTTTTCTTGGTTAAAAATAGGGAGCACAATCTATTTCACTATTGTGATGAACATTTAACACGTGACTTATTCAAAATGTCTGCCAGGAAGTAATGCTCTGAGTCCTAAAACAAATTCCCATAAATATGGAAATTCAACCACTATCATCTTCCAAATCTTATTTGAATTTTGTAAAATGTTGTAACTACTCTTGCTTCATCACGACAAAAACCTAAAACACTTGAAAAAGAATGTAGAACACTAAATTACCAACATTTATCCTCTCTAGTTCAAAATTCTTTTGCAAGAAAATGACTAAAACAGTAAGGTTTACACACTTTCCATTTATTTTGTCACCAATTCTTCCACTCCTTGTCATTCGATGGCCAGTGATTGTAAGCCATCAAGAAGCACATGCAAGTAATGCAATCAGCTTGGAATCCTTCTCGTTACATCCTCCCAAAGTTTTTTCAAGCACATGGAGAGCATCTTGACAAGGTATGAATCTAAATGTCCTATCCAAGTCTGTCTCTATCTGAAAATCCTTCTTAGAAACACTTTTGACATGACTTAAACATTTTGGATGTACACAGTGTCCTCCTGTCTTAAGAAGCCAAGACAGGATTTTATGCAATGCAACATGCTCAAGGTACTTTGCTTTTGTCATCCAAGATTTCTTTTCTCCCAAGGTTTAAAATTCTACTCTCTGCTAGGAAGTTTTCCTGACCCCTCCAAGATTCTAATCAAGAGACTCCTCAAGTTTCTAATGTGTGTAGCACTGGTGCAACGAGGACACCATTTGCGAGATTTGTCAGCAGGTACATCATCTGTTGTCATGTTTGCTGATTTCAATCATTCTTTAGTTTTGAATGCAGCCGACGTAGAGCTCCATTCCTGAGAGTTATGACACAACACTTAAGAACTTAGCTGCAAATGTGGATTTCCGCACAAGGGTCACCAACTTGTTGCTACATGATGTTTGTGATTTTCTTGCTTAAGCTGGTCATGAGAAAAACCAAAGCTGTAAAAGGCACAGCTTAGAATCAAAGCTGTAAGTCTCAGTAGCAACTGGTAGTAGTAACAAAGTAAGGAACTTTTTTGTTCATGCCGGCTAAGATTTCTAAGCAAGTTTCTGGCTAACCTTGCTCTTGTTCAATGATTCTTTTGATCACTTTTTTGTTTCTTTTTCTTTTTCTTGGTGTCTGGTGCCTGCTTTTTTAGTCATTTTTTTCCTGCAGTAACTGGTTTTTCTCACAACAAGTTTAAGCTGCAAAATCACGAACATCATGCAGAAATGGCAGTAGTGACAGTTTGGTGACCCTTCTATGAAAGTTCTTAAGCACAATTCTCAGGAATGGAGCTCTACCTCAGCTTCAAAGAAATTGCTCAATGAAAAAAGAAGCACTACCGAAAAACTTTATAAACTAAATGATGAGGAATCGAGCGATCACGTCAAGGAAAAGACCACATACCTCGAGTGGTCATCATGTAGAGAGCAATAAGACCAGCAGGAGACTGGACTGGTGCTGTGTAGCATTTAAAAGGCTGCAAAACAGAGGTGAATGAAGGACTTGCAAACCTGATAAAGCTATAGAATACACAAATTGGAATCAAAGCTGTAAGTCTCAGTAGCAACCTATAAAATAAACATGCCAAGAGAAAGCAAAAAAAAAAAAGAAATAGACTGAAAAATTACAATTACAACTACATTTTTATAAATTAAAAATATTCTCTATTACTCCCAGCAGAGCTGGGATCCCTGCTAGTGGAAGCTAAAAGTTGTAGCTCTCTTGAGAATTTTGCTCTTTTGATACCCTACACCTTGGGTTGAACCCAACCAAAGCAAACTGGACTACCAAATGTCAATTTCAACTACGTAAGTAAAAACATTTAACCCCAAATATTCCAAGACCCTTAACCAATTGAAAAAGAGGGTGCACTTTTGTTTATGGGCCTTTTTATATATATTTGAACCCTTACGGATTGTCTCTCAAGTCATTTTCTTTTGTTGCTTACAATTTGGCACCTAAGAACTTTTTCACATTGGCTAGCTAAGCCATGCACTCACCATCAATGGAAAAAGTTGAAATCTTGAGTTTGATCCACTAAGGAAGTCTTACTTAAAGCATCCTCTTGCATCTCTTGTTGATTTTTGTTGAAGACTTGTAGCTTATAAACAACATTACGGATAGTCCAAACCTCACCAACTCCATCAACACTGCCATCAGCACCACTATTGACATTAGGATTCTGGCATTCATTTTGGTTGGCCATCACAACCAACTCCTCTAATACCAATGTTATAAGCCAGTGCAAAATAACAAAGATAGAGAATCAGCCTCACCTAAACTATGTTATGCCTTCTCTTGAGGTTTTTAACCACTCAACCATCTTTAAGCTACCTCAAAAGTTGTGAGCCCTTAGGGTAGGTTAAATTCTTTACCCTAAGTCTATTTTTAATATACCCTTGAACTTACCTTACATTGACTACATGATCAAAGCTCGTAACTAACACAAAACCTAACTTAGTTGAGGAAGCCACAGACTTCACATTACATACCATCAAATTTTGCTGGCATACTAATCTTTGGCCTAAAGGAAGGGGCTACTATTGTTGCTGAAGAACTTGCTAGAGTTGTGACTGAAGAGTGGTGTTGAATTGCTCCAACACTTTGTGCAGAAGTGTGAGACATTCTCATGTCACACAGACTATGTAAATAATGTTTCGAATTGGTAAGAGGATCACGCAGGTGTTTGCATGTTCCAAACTAATGCTGCTCAAACTATAGATTGATTTGAGGTTGACATGTCGTAACATGTTAGTTAGTATGTGAACCTCTAGAGTACTTTTAGTTTTTCTCACAGAATCAGGACAATTGTATAAATTACTACTCACTCACTCACCGCCACCACACCACACTGGTTTGAGTATTCTTTGTAAGTAGTAATTTGTCACAAAGAATCACAAAAATAAGTAAATCACAAAAGCGTAACAGAGAAAACAAATCTTTTAAAAGTTTTTTTTCTTATGGAACGAAAAGCAAGGCGGAAATAGCCACTGATGCTTGATAATCATATGACCGTCATCTTATCATCATAGATGATGGAATGATCTCAAAATGACCCCATAGGCTCCAGCATTCTCCCTAGCTGCAATCTCGGTCTGAGATGCCGATGCTGGACCGCTCACAAAAGTGAACGTGAGCTCCTCAACGCAAGTAGCACTTGCAGCATCATCAGCTCAAACAAGTTGTTACCCTGCTGGTACTGGAAATCTTCAGCAAACATTTTGCCTTGGCTCATCTTCTCCCACTTCAGTACAGCAGACCAGGCAGACTTTGGACCAAGGGCTGAGGATTTGCAATAACTTTCTCAATGTGATGGATAAGAAGGAGATCCTGTTTCGTATCAAATTTCATGACTAAAAGAGCGGAAGAATCATCTTGCCTTCACTATAAACGCACAGATGGCTGTACAAATTCTTGCTTCTGAAGAAAAGTATCCCGAATACGAAAGAAGCTTGTTCTCTCTTGATTTCATGAATCCGGGCATAGGTCTTTTGCACGTGCAAGGAACAAAGGCCTCGTACGCAGCACTTGCGGCTGTATTTCCAAATTCCACCAATCCAGTCGGTGGAATTTGATGGCAAAATCTGGAAAGAGAGTCATTTTCTTTCACCTTCATGCAGAGGCTCCCATGCTTCGATGAACAGCAGAACATCTATCACAGATTATAATATGTAGAGCTGGAAAACAACAGAAGGTACAGTTGCAAGATAGACGTTTGAAATGCTTCTCAGGGTTTAGATGTGGTCGAGCAGTCATTTATATTCTATATCTTCAGCATCTTTAGTGTTCTGTAGGTTTCTGACTTCATGTGTCTTGCTTTGGGAGAGCGGAAGCTTTGGGAATGAAAACGTTTTTTTGTCCATCTTTTCCTTAACGTCAACGTGATTTGGCATTTGGAAAGACTCTACAAATCCCTAACCTCTTTTTCCATGCTTTCCGTTTCCAAATATTTCTAATGTCCGCTTTTAACTAGCTTTTCATGGGAATGAGAACAAAATCGGGATTACTATGTCTCTGGGGGCTGCTTCTAGGCTGCATAATAATGCTCTTTTCAGAGTGGATTCTGGAGTGGAAATACGTGGATTCCTGGACGAGTAAATTCTATTACTTGTATCCTGGGCACCATCCTTTTCTTCATCCACTTGCCGAATCTACCGACGAGTTTGGGTTTCTCGGTGTACCTCATTGCAAGTAATTGTTCTGCATTAGTTATCAAATGTCCCTAAAAATTGATCATTTGATTCTTGACAGTTCCACCAAACAAGTCGAGTGGGGCGAAGCCCACCTTCTCGCAGGACTCCACGAGTTTCTGTCAACTTATAGCAAAAGACCTATCAAGAAAAATGTGCTTGGAATGAGGCTAGATCACTCTTTTGGACTTTGGTTTGTGGCTCGTCAACTTGAACCACAGATTATTATCGAGAGTGGTGGTCTGAGGGGTCACACAACTTGGGTTTTACGCCAAGCAATGCCTGACGCGAGAATTATTTCAATTAGTCCCAAATACCCTTTGTCACATTTAGAAGATGGCCTTGGAGCATATGTTGACTCCAACTGCGAGTACCTTACCGGAGAGAAATTTGTGGATTTTGGATATGTACGTTGGGATAGACACCTTCGGCAAGATGCTGATAGGAGCAAAATTCTAGTGTTTTTTGATGACCACCAAAATCATCTCAAAAGGTTTTAATCTTTTCCCAGTGCTTTGTAATAGAAACTGATGGATATTTAGTTGTTTCTTCAGAATGAGCCAGGCAAGCCGGGCAGGATTTAAACATTTAGTGTTTAATGACAATTGTGACACTGGACATGGTGATCAATATTCACTCCGACAAGTTTGTGACCAAGTAAGCAATGGTATGTTTGCATAGTTCCTGTTTCGAAATCATTTTCCTTTTACAACCGCTAGGGGGAGGACACACTTGCTCCACAAACAGTCAGGAAGCTGAAACCAGAAATTTGAGGAAGAAAATGTGGGAAAATGCAGTAAACATATCAGATCTCTGCAGTCAAGGAGGAGCATGGTGGGGAAAGCAAGGTCGTGCTTACGACGACTTTGGGAAAACCAATGCTCCCATCTCTTACGAGCAACATGTGAAGAACTTTCATCTCCTCGAGTCCATACTTGACACGTACTGGGAACTTCCCCCATTGGCCGCTGCATATTTAACACGTCAAACCACTTTTGATCCCGCAAGAACAAGTTGGCCACTTGTTTTTAACTTGAAAGACACCTCCATCTTCAGTAAAATTGGGTTTGATAAGTGGCTCTTCAACGCGTATGCTTACATGGTATATGCTCGCTTGAAAAATGATATACCTTTCGAATTCCAATTAGAAATTGAGCAGGAATGGGTCAATAACCTTGGAACAGATCCCAAATATTAAATCATGTATTCTTTACAAGATTTTAAAATCTCACAATGACCAGAAGGTGATAAATAATTTTTTAAAATTTGTGCTTGAGAATACATATATGAGAACGCTGTGGTCTGGGGTTTAAAATCTCATGTAGCACGAAACAGTTTAGAAGCAATACGACTTGCAGATGCACAGGTAAAGTTTGCTTTTTGTTAGCTGGTGCTAGTTTATGTTTTACATATGTTTTGCTGCAGTTCAATGGCTGCAGTAAACTCAGCAGCTGCAAATTAAGGTCTAATGCTTCCTTTCAACTATTGTTCAAGTTGATAGCTTGGGACCAAAATTTGCCAACTAAAGTGTCGCCAATGCCACGTCATTTTTGTCTACCAGTCGACTGGTTGCTAATTTACTGGACTTGAATTGTAATTTATTAATTTGCTGCTAATTTACACTTGTAATTTGCTTGTTCAGCACTTTTTCTAAGTCTACATTTACTTTTTTACATGGGGGTATCACAAAATTCTAGGGCCTGGATTTCAAACAGATGACGTACCCTAGGCAAACATATCTCCAAAGCGACCATTTTGATACCCTGTGTGTTCCTAAGTTGACAAAGAAAATACTCGGGAACAAACGAGCGAAATTCAAGCCCTTCCAAAGTACAATTTATCGAATTTTGGATGTACCTTATTAGTCTTCACTAACATCCGTCCAAAGTGTCTGAAAGGCCAGCAAAAGTAGAAGCTGCAGCTAAATCTCAGAGAGCCACCACAGCCAACTTCTCTCTTTCTCAAGTTACATTGATACATGATACGCAGATAAGGTTACCTCAGCCATGCTTTCCTGATGAAGCTGAATTACTAAAACCAGACTGAACATAGAACAGCTTCACATTTTTAACAATGTCTTGAATGACATACAGAACAAAAAATAAATAAAAAGATTATTCTTTGTTGATGGAGTCGGAGGCACAGGGAAATCATATCTTTTTAGCACACTGATAAAATATGCCACTGCCTATCACATAAAAGTCTTAGTAGTCAAGTGGACAGAGTACTCTTTTTATAGGAGGTCGAATGGCTCATTCAACATTTAAGCTACTGGTACCAATCACAGAAACATGCACTTGGACCTGCGAGAAAATTCAGCACCTCCCGAGGTCATAAGGAGAGTTGAACTGCTCATAAGGGACAAGATAAGCAACCAATTCATGCTTTTAAAGGGTCTTGCATGACATAACAAACTGTGATACAGATTTTGGTGGCATCACATTAGTAACAGGAGTAGATTTCAGACTGACATTACCTGTTTTAAAAAGAGCCCATCACATAAAAATGGTCCAAAACAGTGTGAAATCCTCACCAATATCTTGTAATCATTAAACATGAGGTGAACTCTGAAGAAAAGGAATGGTCCAGATGACTTGTGAGGCTCAAAAATGATAACCTACCTAGCCTCCAAGGATTCAACTAGGAAGTTATAAAATTACCTCTAACTTTCACCACTAGAGAACAAATGATAGAAAATGTGTTTGGAAAACACATACAACCCATTGGAGAAAGCTATTCTCATGACTTTAAATGATCTCTCTCTACAAGTGAATGACCAAGTCCTTTTGAGAATGACTGGCAGAACAATAACATACAGAAGCATTGACATCATAAAAACAGATTTGGACAAAGAGATGTTGGATTACCCTATAGAATTCTTAAACTTAGTAACACCATCTGGAATGCCTTCACACAAGATACACAGAACAATCAGATGCATTATGCAACATTGACACTAAAAAGGCCTTTGTAATGGCACTAAACTAATTATAACCAAGGCACTATGGTATGAAAGGAAAAAAAGTCCTACCAAGAATCTCTTTAAAACAAACTGACCGTTTATCTTCAAATAACAACAATCCCAATAAGGCTTGTGTTTTCCATAACAGCTTGCAAAATCTTAGGGACAAACATTACAGAATATGGGTATCTATTTGTTAAGACCAGTTTTTGGCCACGGTTGCTCATCAAAGAAACAAATTACAATGTCCATCGAACAATGCGAGGGACAAGGTGTGCTCCAGAACCATAATGTCTATATGGAAAACATTGTATACAGAAATTCATGTCACCAATGTGACAATATTCCAGTGGAGCTAGATTCCTTTCTAGTATTTATACATTTTATAAGGTATATCAAAAGTATATTCTTTTTTATAGAATATACATGGAATTTTGATGATGTGGCAGCCATACAGCCAGACATGAAAACCCTTAAAAAGGAAATCCTCCTGGCTTTCATCCTCAACCTTCCAATCCGTAGCAAGCCTCAGAGACTCCAGAACTGCTAGCATCTCCTCCGTTTTCATCTTGATAGTAGCCTGGTATGAATCATCGCCCACTTTCTGCCGCTTTGTGAGTGCTAGCAAGCATTCATCAACCAGAAAAATGAAACAAAGAGCAGAGAGCAGATAAGTACCTGTCAAATTCAATAGTGGAAAGCTGAGAAGCTTCTTCTGGATCATCTCCTCAACATAATGTTTGCTCCCAAGGCTTTGCTCACAACTCAGTGTTGAGTCTAGACTCTCCATTGCAAGAATGAAACGGGAAATCATCACTCACAGATTTGCTTCTTCTCTAGCACAAGGCGACAAAGACGAAGAAGCAACAGAACTCACCCAGGTGGAAAGGGATAGCTCGACATGGTGAGTGACTTTCTTTTCTTCGGCCTGCTTCCTTTAGCTTCTCCTGCTACCGCTTGTGAGGTGCCGAAGGACCAGCACAAACAGCAAACGAGAGTCACTTATTATGGAATCTCGCCTGTGATTGATCGAGTCGGAAGTTTATCCAGGTGAGGTTCTTACAAACCAGCAACGAGAGCGACCACAATCCACAGCATCAGCAGGCCGATGATGGCCACTCTCAACTCGAGGGCATGAGTCATGTCATGTCCTCCTCGTCTTGGTCACTGAATAGATAATCTCTTTATCGAGAGAAAGCATTGAAGGACTACCTACAAGCTAGAGAGCTCATTCAGAGCATGCCCGTCTCAGCACAATGCTGTAAACTAGACAATAAAGTATGCGTAGGTCGGATTTATGCAATAAGCTCCAGAGGCTATTTGATCGGTTATTGGAGGGACGAAAAGATTGATATGGAATACTCAAAGAGATCCCGGCTTGAAGAAGCCCAGGAGGTCTTTGGCAAATGCCTCAACATATTCTTGGCGAGCATGTCCTCACAAACGGAACATAGAATCCAAATCTAACCTGATGTATAACCTCGCTGAATTTCCGAGATGGTGTTAATCTCGCCAGAGGAAGTATTAGAATGTTTTATTTCGTCTTTTAGATTAGAATTGACATCCAAATACTTCTCAGTTGAATTTGGTACCATCTTGCAGCTGGAATTGCTAGGGTTTGTGAGGAATACGATGATATAGGTGACACATGGACTAATGGGAGGGCGAGTTTTGTTTTTTCTTTATGGCTAGCCTCTTAAAAAATATACACAGCTTGTTTCGATTGTTGTTTAATATACTGGGTCTGGTAATTTGTAGTTGGAAAGTTTCTTGCCATGTTCCTGGAGTAATATGGACATTTCATGCAATCCATGTTGCACTGCTGTTTCATAGTTGTTGTGAATTCGTGTTAGGTCTTCACACATGCCTTCCTTGAATTTATCCCATAGTTTTTTTGGGATCAATGAGTTTGCAAAAAAAGTACATGACACTGAATAGATACCTTACTTTTGTAGGCATCTGAAATGTCAACGACTCTTTGAAGCATTTCTCTCCAGGAACATCCCAGTCTTGTTTAGTTTAAACCATTCCGTTAGTTTGCTTTTACGGCCTCTTTGTAATGTGATCTTTCCTCACCCTCATTGAAATAAATACTTTGAAGGTCAAGACATTGCAAACATAATTCTGACACTTACAAAACGGAAACATGTTAATAGCTTTAAGAAAGAAAAAATAGGAAGTGAAAGGAAAAAATGAGAAAGATCAATTGGGAAAAATTGCTCTCTTGTGCTCTGCTTGCTTCTCAAGCAACGTATTGAGGGCATATTACAATGTCACTCATCCATTCTATACAGGATTCACGCCTTGAACATACTATTTCCTTCCACCAACTTGCTGCTTAAGTTTTAGATAAAGAAAGCTTAAATAACCTCTCTTGTGTGCACAAATATGCCACTTCTTCATAGGACACTTAGGCACATACAGGAAGCTAGCCTCTTCCTCACACTCTTCATTATCCAAAGCAAGAAAATCTTAAGGCAATAAGAGAGATCAAACACATCCCCAACTACGTGCGCTGTTGCCAGTGGTGAGATTGTTCGGCTCGTTGCCAACTCCAACTCCAAGGAGCAGCGAGGCACCGGAGTGTAGGTAGCAGTGAGAGGCAGTTCCAAGGCTCATAATGATTATCCGCCTGTCTTAACATTATGTTTTGGACGAAACACTGCTGCAAAACCATTGACATAACAATGAAGCCTAGACAGAAACCACTTTGCCATTTCTTTGCTAACCATAGCTCGTCTATCGGGCTCTGATTAGAGGACACATTAATTGCAGAGCAAAGTAGCCACTAGAGTGTTTTCAATCGCTGATAGCCTCAAAATTTACTGAAAG